GGAGAGGATGGATTTCGATCGGGAGAGGGTGTGAGTTAGGATGATGAGTGAGAGGTACATGGTAGACATGAAGAAAATGACCAAAGGACAGAAAATGGAAATTAAGAAGGAGAAGGCATTTGAGACAATTGAACTTGATAAAGAGAATGTGAGGCTAGCGAGGATCATGTTGGCCGACACCAGTCTCATGCATGACCATTGCAAGAAGTGGTTCATCAACCAAGAGAAGGATATCAAGGTGCGCAATAAAGACGATTTATTGTGGATTATTTGTCATGGATCATTTCCGCTTGTGCTGATTTTTTGCGTGCTATATTGGTCGAATGATCCGCGTGCATTTTTTCTTTTTATTGATTTAAGGTTTCAAATATGGGATTGTGATTGTCCAGACGGACAAATGGGGTCGACCCACTTCTTTTTGTGGACGTGTCCGAACATGTTCGTGGACATATGGATTAAATTAGGTAAGTGTGGTTGGGGATGCTCTTAGTTTATCTTGGGCAGTTGCATTAGGTTAGCTATAATTAGTACCACTCTCTCTATTAGAGCATGGTTAATAATATTATTGATTGATGGCTATAACATATTGCCATGCAACAATAGCCAATGTAATAAACAACATGTATAGTGGTGGGCTATAAGAAAATACTACCCCCACCACCCCGACCGAACCCTACAAAACGACCGTCCGCCGCCGTCCCTCGCCACTCACCCACTCTCACTCACTCCAGCTACCAGCAAACCCTAGCTTAGCTGCACCCGTGCTCACCTAATCACCTCCCGCCGGGCCGGCGAAGGCCAGCCGGTTCTCCAACTCGACCCGGCGACGGCGGCCGACATGCGGCGCCAGGGCCTCGATCCGCACGAGCTGGACCGGAGCACCGAGCAGCTCATGTCGCTCATCCACGAGAACCTCCCGGACCCACCCGTCTCCACCACCGCTCGCTTCGTCGCTCTCCGCGCCCTCTCCTCCGACGGCGTGGACCGCTTCAGCGGCCTCTCCGATGCGCTCCTCCGCAACATCGTCTCCCGCCTCCCCGTCAAGGACGCCGCCCGCACCGCCGTGCTCGCCGCGCGCTGGAGCGGGGTCTGGCGCTCGACGCCGCTCGTCCTGATCGACACCCAGCTGATCTCCAACGGCCGCACCCCGGCGCGCGCCAGCACGCCGGACGTTACCGCGGCCGTCTCCCGCATACTCGCCACGCACCCAGGGCCCTTCCGCTGCGTCCATCTCACCTGCAACCGCATGGGTGCGTACCAGGGCCAGCTCAGGCGCTGGATCCGTCTCCTCGCCGCCAGAGGCGTCCAGGATCTCGTCCTCGTCAACCGCCCGTGGCTCCGCGAGGTGCCCCTCCCCAAGACGCTCTTCACCATCTCCACCCTCACCCGCCTCTACATCGGCGTCTGGAAGTTCCCGGATGCGGGTGGCCTCCAAGGTGCCTCCTTCCCCCACCTCCGGGAGCTCGGCATCTGCAGCGTCGCCGTGGAGGACGGGGACATTGACGCCTTCGTCGCCAGGAGCCCCGCCCTGGAGATCCTCAACATCCAAGGGAGGATGAAGGGGGTGCGTCTCCGCCTCGTCAGCCACAGCCTCCGGTGCGTGCAGATCTGCTCTTTCGTCATGGAGAGCATCGAGGTGGTGAACGCCCCGTGTCTCGACCGCCTCATCCTGTCGGAGTGTCTCGGCCCCGCCGGCGGATCGTGTACCAGAGTCAGGATTGGCAACGCCCCCAAGCTGAGAATATTCGGGTGCCTGGATCCAGGAAAATACGTGCTAGAGATCCGAGACACTGTCATCACGGTACTAGTACTACACATCCAGCCTCGGAACGATCTTTCAACTTTGTTCAATTTGCAAAATGTGCCGTCTCTCTTGCTGAATTTGGTCCATTTCAGGCTGGGATTAAGATAAGTCCAAGCATGATGATCACAACCGTGAAGGTCCTTAGTTTGAGGGTGCGGTTTGGAGTCTACGATGATGTCAAGATGGTGCCCGCCTTCCTCAGATTCTTTCCCAATGTTGAGGCGCTGCATATGACGGTACCAGCATTGCATTCTCTTCTCATACATACTTTTGCTGCTGCTGCTGCATGATGATCTATTATTTGCTGAAATGTTCACTAAATCAAATAATTTGCAGTCTGAAAAATGTGATCACCTCGCTGGCACGTTCGACCTCAAGTTCTGGGAAGAGGTCGGTCCCATCGTGAGTGTGCTCTTGCGCCTCAAGGTGATCACGTTTCGTGAGTACCATGCGAGGCAAGATGAGATTGCCTTCCTCCAGTACATCTTCCAGAATGCAAGGGTGCTCAAAGATGTAATGATTCAGATGATCAATCCAAGATTCACTTCACTGTCAGCAGATGAGATGACCAACACCATAAACAATATGCCTAATGAGAAATGGGTCAGTGAATTTGATCTTGCTATCTGTCGGAGCATTGGTCCAGAAGGATTGAGTCCTTGGACTTTTGAGCGAGGAGCAAACCTTTGCGACGATGACCCTATTGCGCCGGTTAAATTCATCACACTACGGGTTAGTGTTGTTTTGCAGTATGTGCAATTCTACATATGACGCACTGTTATAGATTGTCAGCATGTGTTACCTGAAGATTGGGCATTCCTCTAGGTTGTGCTAACATGATTAGTTTGAATACATCCGTGAAGTAATTTAGTAGTGCCATTGTACAATCTGACCATCTTAGCAGCGTATATGTTGCTTGCAATTTGCATGCTGTAATCCTGATTGCTCATAAAAATTATATTATCCCTTGTGCTTCATTTAGGCATGAATTTATTTAGCTTTCAACTGTGTGACTACAAGATATCCTAGGCCAATTGTTCCTTAAACACCAAGTCCCAACTTTCAAGACTTTAGAGGTTGCATGTTTCTCAGTTCTGATTTTGCACAAAACTATGATGCATGGATGCATGTTGTTTCCACTAGCTAAATTACTAACCTGTTTTCAAAATGAAATAAAATTACTAACCTTGGTTAATTAGCCATGAACAGACCATCATATTTACCGTTATGCAATACGCCCCACTTGCTGGCGAAATTCACACATTGCCAGGACCTTAAGTTTGCATTTCGATATACAGCCTCAATTTTTCTGTTCTACTATGTTGTTGTCTGCTTCACTCCTCCTAATCAGTCTATCTTTTGTTATGCCTTCGTTCGTATTAGGTGTAGGCCCGGCCACTCACCAGCAGAAGCCACAAGCTGGCAAGCATCGCAACTGAGATTGTTGACACGTGGAGTCATGGAGTATGCACTAGCCTGGTTGCTTTCCATGGTTCTTGTTGTGATCGAATTCTGCAATGGTGTCAAGTTGCCTCTCTTTTTTGTAACGAGCAGTGTGCTCTATTGCCAGAGATCATTCTTCGAATTAAGGAACTGTGTGTAACTGAAAAAGACATGGTGGAGTAGCCAACGTTAGCCGTTAGGCAGAATTAAGGTAGTACCATAGACTAAGAAACAAGTTTATTTTGGTTATGATGAACTACCTGTGTACCTTGCAGCCTTGCAATTGTTATATCCTACTACTAGTTCAGTATGGCCAGAGCACATTCTCTAGTATCTGGAAATTGAAAAAAAACATGCTGAATTCGGAATCATTGGGCTGTGAAACAAGTGTGGTTTCCCTGTGATGAACTGCTTGTACCTTCCGATGAAAATGCTAAAGTAGACTACCTAGAAAACTAACATGGATAGGCTGAACCGTTTCTGTTGGGACTTGGCAGTTAAGAAAATAGCCCTCTTACCACTTGCAAATGTATAACTAAACCGTTGAGGCTTCATATAGTTAAGAAAAGAAGTAATCCCTCCTCTTGCTGCCGATTTTGGTATTTTGACCCTTTTGCGAAAGTTTTTTGAGATTTGACCCTTTTTCTACCGCTAGGTGGATGGCGGTAGGGTATAACAGCCTATCGCAAATAATTTCTAAGTATCAAATACAGAGCGTGTACTCACCTACCGCCGGGCACCTCGGCGGTAGGGATACACAGCCTACCGCTAGCCTATTTGGTGGTAGGGCAGCAAAACGCTGACATAGATAAGTTGCCTACCGCCAAGGGCCTTGGCGGTAGGCTGGTATACGCTAACACCATCGATTTGACGGCAGGAAAAGGGTCAGATCTCGATTTTTTTTCGAACCAGGGTCAGATCTCACTAAAATTTCGCAAAAGGGTCAAAACACCAAATTTGGCCTCCTCTCGCTCCCGTGCGGCTCGATGGGCCACACCGGGACGCCCTAGATCTGGCCGCCTAGGGCCACGCCCTCCTCTCCACTCACTACCGTCGTAGGGCGTCGCCGGGGCAAAGCTCGGGCAGCTTTGGAGGCACGGTGGGGGTGGACCTGCGCTCTTGGTGTTCGGCGACGCTGGCGGTCCAGGAGCTATGCACGATGGGGAGTTAAAGGGTTGGCGGCCACGTGAGCTGGCGGACACGTGAGCTGGCGGCCTTGGTGGGGTGTTGCGTGCGGCCGTGGACGTGGGCTGGAGGAGTCGTAGGTGCACGGCCGAGGTGCGGGGCGCAGAAGCAATGGAAGCATGCGGTCGTGCGAGAGTTGATGGAGCGTGCAGGCTTGTTGTTGCCGCTTGCATCTGGCTGGGGCACCGCGGGTCCGCCTAGGCTGGGCGGCAGAGTGGTGCGGAGCGAGGGCATCGGAAGACGCGGTTGTCGGTGTCAAAACCGACGGATCTCGGGTAGGGGGTCCCGAACTATGCGTCTAAGGCTAATGGTAACAGGAGGCGGGGGACACGATGTTACCCAGGTTCGGGCTCTCTCTATGGAGGTAATACCCTACTTCCTGCTTGATTGATCTTGATGATATGAGTATTACAAGAGTTGATCTACCACGAGATCGTAGAGGCTAAACCCTAGAAGCTAGCCTATGATTAACATTGTTGTTGTCCTACGGACTAAACCCTCCGGTTTATATAGACACCGGAGGGGGCTAGGGTTACACATAGCCGGTTATAGAGAAGGGAATCTACATATCCGAATTGCCAAGCTTGCCTTCCACGCAAAGGAGAGTCCCACCCGGACACGGGACGAAGTCTTCAATCTTGTATCTTCATAGTCCAACAGTCCGGCATAAGCATATAGTCCGGCTGTCCGAGGACCCCCTAATCCAGGACTCCCTCAGTAGCCCCTGAACCAGGCTTCAATGACGATGAGTCCGGCGCATAGATTGTCTGCATAGATTGTCTTCGGCATTGCAAGGAGGGTTCCTTCCCCGAATACTCCAAAGTAGATCTTGAACACAAGAATCGTGTCTGGCTCTGCAAAACAAATTCCACACACCACTGTAGAGAGTACAATATTCCACGAGTCTAATCTGCTGACAACTTTTCCATAGCGTGACATCACGCCGTGACCCGGTCATTATTCGAACCGTGTTCTCAACCTGCTACTACACATCTTGCGAGGCGGTTTTATTGGCACGTCTTGTCGAAGCAGAGATCGTGTCCTCTTATCACGGGATTCTCATCAATACGGGTGTGGGTAACCCAACCACGCCATTAGCACGGCGCTTGGGGAATAAGCGAGTTTCTAGGGCAAGTGGGGAGGCGCATGATTTCTGCTGCCTTTATAAAGAGACAAGGATTCCCCCTTTTCACCCACGCCTTCTTCTTCTTCTACCTACTCTCTTTCCCTCAAGCTCCAGCGCCCAAGCATTCGCCTTCTCCGCCCACAAAGGCATTCTGAAAATGTCTGAATCTGGAGCCGGAGGCAAGTGGATGGCCTCTACTGTCTAGGAGAAGGATATTAAGAAACTTCGGGAGGCCGGGTATCTGGCCAAGAAGATCGGCCACCGTCTTCACTACAAAAAAACACTTTCGTGATGATACGTGTTTGTCACAATAGGTCGCGTTTTCTGTCATGCATGTATATCCATGGCAATTTTATGACAGAATCAAGATAGTCATACCTGTGCTGTCGTAGAAGTGTTCCATGACATTACCAAAATTATCATCATGGAAGTGTCCACTTCCATGACGATAAATCGCACGTCACAGAAGTGCTTTCGTCAAGGGTTACCGACACGTGGCATCCACCGTAACGGAACGCCGTTAAGCTATCGGGTCGGGTTTTGGATCCGATAACCCATTAACAACCCAGACCAATGGGGATTTTCCACGTGTAAAATCATCATTGGCTGGAGGAAACACGTGTCGGCTCATCATTGGGACAGATGTCATCCACTCATTGGACAGAAGGCGCCTATGATATGTCGACACGTGGCACGACCCAACAGAGGCCCATTCCTGTGAAAAGGCCGGCCCGTTTGACTTGGTCAAAAGGTGGCGGGCCGGCCCATGGAAAGCATGTTAACAGCATGTTCGCATATAGCCCATTTATAGCTCGCTAACCCAAGGCCCGTTACGCCCTATCCGAATTAGGCCCAGTAGCGTCATCTGGGCCACCCAATATGATTCCAGCCCGTTTTCACTTCTGGCCCATGTATGGACCATGACGTCTTTCGGCCCATATGAGGCCCTTTATAACTCTTGGCCCATTAACAGCCCGTGGTGAAACTGGCCCGCAGTGAACAGTGTATCACTTTATACCCATTAACGGCCCGTGGTGAAACTGGCCTGTAATGAACAGTGTATCACTTTATACCCATTAATGACCCGGTATTCCGTTGGGCTGTTTCCGGCCCATGTTATCTTTCAGCCTTCTCAAAGCCCATTTATTATTGGGCTCATTCCAGCATTCGTTTACTTATGGCCCGTTACTGTCATTTTCTGCTTGTGGGCTAAATTCAGCCCGAGGTTATAGTCGGCCCGTTTTGTGGCCCGTTAATACGTTGGGCCGTTTTCATAGCGTCATCAAATACGGACGATTAACGACGGCCCGTTATGGTCGGCCCATGAACAAACGATTCCAACTCTAACCCGTACACGGCCATAGTGTGGTCTGTTATTGGCCCATGTTTGGCCAACCGATCATACGGGCCGTACAAGGCCCATTGATGATACGGCCCGTAGAAGGCCCATTGTGTCTACGACCCGTATAAGGACCATTGTTTCTACGACACGTAGAAGGCCATTGTTTCTACGGCCCGTAGGAGGGAAATTGTAACTACAGTAAATATGTAGCCCATGGTTATTGTGGCCTAGTTTAAAAAAATAGGTTATTGCGGCCACTAGCAAACCGCGGAAAAAGAACTGCACTGACTACAAGCAAAGAAATAAACAAGACAATAAAGAAATAAATAAGCAAGCAACTTACGCTAGGCTACCACAGCTATTACACATATTACATCCATTGAGCATCAAAGTTCGCCACCAGTGCAAATATAGGGAACACAACAGCATATAAACGCCGCAGGAAAACAAGTCCAGAACTGAAACCACTTCAGAAGAGCTCAAGAAACAATATCCTGGGTACCCATAATGCTGGCAAGATGCTTAGCAAGCTTATTAACTTTCTCTTGTTTGGCGCTTAAGTCCTCCAGCACTTGTTGTTGCACCAGAAAGTATGCATTTGAATTCTGCAGGGACTTCCTCAGTCCTTCGGCTTCCTGTCGCATAACATCTGATTGATGTCTTTCAACTTAAAGT